AATCCATTCCTCACCTCTTCCAGCTTCTGGCGCCCTAAGCCTTCCCTGGTTTATAGCTGTGTCACTCTAGGCTCTGCTTCTGTCTTCACAAGACCCTCCCTTTGTGTGTGTGCGTGTGTGCGTGTGTGTGTGTGTGTGTTTCTACTGTATGTGTCTTAGAAGTCCAGTTGTTATCAGATTTAGGGCCCACCTACACAATCTAGGATGATCTCACCAAAAGATCTCTAGTACCTGCAAAATCTCTTCTTCCAAATAAAGTCACATTTGCAGGGTTTGGGATTAAGATGTGGACAGATATTTTGGAGAGCCACTACCTGGCTCACTAGTGCTCCTTTTTCACTAAAGTTCTGGATACCTGTGCTGCTCCCAAAGACAGGGCACTGACACCAATACCTGTTCCCCATAGCCCATCACTGGGAAGTGGTCATTTGTTGAGAATTCCTCGTTGCTCTTGGACAGGGACCTTGGTGATTGTGATCCTTGAGCAAGGACAACCAGTCCAGAAGGATGAATAAGCAACTCTCTCTCTGCTTTTTTTCCCCCTGCATTAGAAGGCATCACTGGGCCCATTGCAAACCCTTCTGCCCTTCCTTCACTCCTGGGAACATGGTGGAGGATGGGGAGACAGGGAAAGAGATGGAGAGAGAGAGAGAGAGAGAGAGAGAGAGAGAGAGAGAGAGAGAGAGATTGAGCCCTGCCATGCAAACTGCACAAAGCCAGCTTTGGTTCCATTCCCAGGGCTGAGCACAGGGCCTGACAGAGAGCAAGATCCAAATAAACTGCATGTTTAAACCCCAAATATCTGCATGTCTGGCTCCCTTACTTCATCTGGGGCAGCTCAGATGGTGCCTTGCAGAGACTTCACTAACCAGAGCCATGTAGGGAGTGCCCCAAGCTGTTGTCTCCCCCAGTCTGCTCCTCTCACTCACCACACCAGACAAATTACCTAATTACTCAATCTTCTTTTGAGTGTTCCCTGCCCAGAGGCAGAATTTGATTCATGGCTACGTTTCTGCTATCTGGAATGGTGCCTGTCACACAGGAGTAGATGACTGGCTGGCTTGATGGTTGGCTGGCTGGTGGATGGATGGATGGATGGATGGATGGATGGATGGATGGATGTGTGAATGGGTGTATAGGTGGATAGGTGGGTGGGTGGATGGAGGGATGCATGGATGAGTGGATGGTGGATGGAAGGATGGTTGGATGGATGGATGCATGGGTAGATGGATGGATGGAAGGATGGATGGATAGGTATATGGGTAGATGGGTGGGTGAAAAGATGGATGGATGGATGGATGGAAAGATGGACTTTTGAGGCACCAAAAAGGCAGGATAATTTGGTTATAGGTCAAATAAATTGGTGTGTGGAGGACAAAGAGGCTTGTGTTTTGGCCCTGGGATAGAGCTGGACCTTGGGATGCTGGTGAAGAGCTGGAGTTGTGCATTCAGTGAGTGATGAGCTTAGTCTGGAGAGAAGAGGGTCAAAGATGGCTCCTATATCCTGGGTGCAATAGTCTTCTATTGCTGCTGAAACAAATTAGCACACACTCAGAGGCTTAAACAATAGGAATTTACTGTATCACAGTCCTGTGGGCCAAAAGTCTGACATGGGTCTCACTGGGCTAAAACCAAGGAGGCACCAGGACCAGCTTCCTTTCTGGAGACTCTACGGGGGGAATCTAGTCCCTTGTGTCCTAGGACTGAGGTCTGTTTCCCTGGTGGTTATCAGATTCTGGAAGTCCTTGACTCTTGGCCTCTTCTGTGGACTGAATTATGTTCCTCCCAAATTCATATATTGAAGCCCTAAATTCCAGTGTGGCTGTTTTTAGGGTTGGTGCCTCTGAGGAAGTAATCAAGGTTAGATGAGGTCATAAGGAGGGGGCCCAATATGATGGGACTAGTGTCATTTAAAGAAGAGACACCAGAGAGCTCTGTCTCTCTGCCTTGTGGGGACACAGTGAGAATGTAGCCATGTGCAAACCAGGAACAGGCTCTCACTGGGAACCGTCTTTGCCAGCACGTTGACCTGGGACTCCAAGCCTCCAGAACAGTGAGAGTAAACATCCATTGACACCAGTAGCCTGGACCTTGCAGGCTGAGATGCCCCCAACTCCACCTTCAAAGCCAGCACGAGGGGGTGAAGTTGTTCTTGTGGTTTGATTCTCTCCTGATGACCCTCCTCTTCCTCCATCTTTCTTTAAGGGCCTGTGGTATTGCACTGAACCCATTTGAATAAACCAGGAAGATGTCTATGTCTTAAGGTCCACAGCCTCAATTCTACCTCCAAAGGCCCTTTTGTCACATAACATGGGGTATTCACAGGCTCAGGGATTAGGGTGTAGTCATGTTTAGGGGCTGCTATTCCACTGACTACATGGGGAAGAATGTGTAGCAGTTAGAACCAGGATGAGGCCATGATGCATGTTAATTTAATCCTTCTAGAGGCTACCTGCTGACTCTGAGGGGCAAGCAGTTTCCAGGCTATTTGGGGCTATTTGAGGGGTCACCATTCTACTACCTCTCTGACTCAAGGGCAAGAGAAAATCTTGAACCCTTGAAGCCCAACAAATATTCTGTAGATCTCCTGGGCTATTGAATTCCAACTAGACATACCTGGGACCCAACAAAGCAGAAAGAAAGAATGTAGGCTTTTCATACATGAGAGTATTCCCCTTTGAGATCTGTTTGTCCATCCGTCCATCTGCCCAAGAAAACTTATTGGCAGAAAAAGTTTCTGGGTGTTGTATAGGAATCCCGGCTGCCAGATGGATATGGGGGACCCTGGTGCTCATTCCAGCCCAGTGGGTCTTCCCAGAAGGGGCACTGGTTAACCTCAGTGAATAAACAAACCACCCCAGTGCTGCAGAAATGCAAACTGCCCTCAGAGAGGGGCTAAGAGGGCACTGCTGAGATCATTTAGTTGCTGCTTGGTTAGAAGAAGTGAGTTGCAGAGGATGTCTCTGCACTTAGCCTTGTTGGAACCAAGATCCTCAGCTACTGATATGACATAGCCTCTGGTCTCCAAGACCATCAGAGGCAGCCAATTAAACCAAAAATACTCCAGACAGCAATTGCAAGGGAGATCCATGGGTTAGCTCAAAGCTTGTGCCCCCAGAAACTGCCTGTCATGGAGCACAAATGATGTGCTGTCCTTCCCAGAAACCCCAGAGTGAAAATGAGTTTTAATCACCTGTCCCCCTAACACTAATCACCACCCATCAGCAGGACAGACCCTGCCAAAGCACATAATTCTCAATCACACAGGCTAAATAAATGAATAATTACAGGAATAAACTCGGCAGTTATTGCTAGCACATTAAGCATGGGATAGACTCTCTTTGCTCCCCAGTCTGAATGCAGAGTCCCTGGGGCTGTCAAACTCAGGCTGGCAGGGCCACTGGGAGGGACAAAGACTTGCACATCAGGCCTGTGCCCCATGCTCCTCAGCTGCACCTCTGATAGAGGGTCCAAGCCACTCTGCAAGTCCTCACTGGAGACTAGAAAAAGCCATGTCCCTCCTGAGAGGACCCAGAAGGCAGCTAGAGAGATCATTCATCCCCTAATGTGGTCAGGAACACATGGGAAAATGGACCACAGCAGCAGCATCCTTCTCTCTTGTCCAGAGTGCATGAAGCTCGTATGGAAAAGAAGCCAGAGGCTGGAGTCATGGACGCCAGCCATGTCCCAGCCTGCTCGTTCTACCTCTGGGGAAACTGAAGTTCCCCACAGCCTTTGCAAGGAATGAGGCTCATGAACATGTTTTTATTACAGCTAAAATGGCCTGTGCCCACCGCTGACCATGCCTGCTTGGTCCAGAACCCTCCTCAGGTATCAAATAGAGACAAAAACAGGCAATTTTCTTCTCTTTCTATTTCTGTATTAAAGTAATCAAGTGGTGTTGTGTTCAAGCAGCTGTTTACCCAAAGGAATGAACAGAGATCAATATTAATATCTGGACACCTACACACTAATCTTTTTGAAATGTCAGAAAAAAATAAGGCATCGAGAAATTCTATTCTAGACCTTTGCCAGTAATGGGAGTGAAACTCAATCTCTCTCTCTCAATCTCTCTCTCTCTCTCACACACATACACACACACACACAATTTCGTCCCCACACTCATGCTTCTGAAGGTGACCCATAGCACCTGAATGGACACCAATGGTCCATGTGGAACTCTGAGATTTGAGAGTAGAGTTTTGGTCCTTTTCATGTGGAAAGATCAAAGTGTGAGCCCCTTTGTTCCGAGACTGGAGGGTGGCAGCCAGTTGACAACTGGAGAGGGGCCAGGCCCTCCACCCTTCTCCATGATGTTAGATGGATTCCTGAGCCAACCTGCACACATGTGAATGCCTTTTAAGGAGCATTCTCCAATACCATACTACAATTTTGTTACTAATTGATCAGAAGCTCAGATGTAAACAGAAGGCATCCAGGGGTCCTGCCTGTATTTCTAAGTGATTTGAGAGCTGTGCTCAGGGGCCACCCACAGAAGGTTGTTCTGGAATTAAGAAGCAAAGGGGCCAAGTGGGAGCTTGGTGGCTCTAGAGCTGATCCCTTCTGGAAGCAAGTGTCCTATGAGCACCCTGTTTCTCTCTTGAATGTCCTCAGTCACTGCCCCAGGAGGGCTGCTTGGTGTCCTTTTACTTCCTTGGCCCCAGAATCCTTCACCAAACACCAAGCCCTTTGGGGAGCCACAAAGAGAAACCTTTGCTTGAAGTATGCATGGTTCCCATAGCTTCCTTGTCCGGGACAGGGAGTCCTCTACAGGCAACCTCCTCACCCCCCAATGGGGCTACGTGCACCAGCCTGTCTTCTCGGAGCCACAGCTCCCTCGTCTGAGAAGCAGCAGGGAGCAAAGTCATCTCTGGGTGGCCATGTGGGTTCAGGACAGCTCATACGATCTGCCTGATATAATGCTTGGAATATGACAGGGGCCATTGTGGTTGTCAAGAGTACTAAAAATATTAATTACTACCATTTATTATTATTGATTCTTTTCTTCTTTTTATTGCCACCCACATACCTTGGATTGAATGGATCACCATGAAGGCCACCTGCCCTTTGTGTTTTGTCCCCTGGCTACTACCTTCACTGTGCCCCAAAGGCCCAGCCTATCAGCCTGGGCCGACCCCCTATCAGTGAGAGGCCCAGCCCTGCTGCTGATACTCATCGATGGGGTCTCAGCTGAGTTCCAGCCTTGCTGGACCTCTGTTGTCTAATCCTCAAGGACGGGAGAAGCCTTCCACATGCACGTCCAGATTTCTGTGACCCTTGCAGACTCCTGTCAGAAGAAGAGACCAGACAAGGGAGACATTGAAATGGCCCCACAACCACTGAAGACACAGTGTTTGCCTGGGGCTTCTTTCCCACCTGTGTTTTGGACCCTGGAATTCCACTTCCTCCAAGTCGATGGAAAACAAACAAAGAACATACATCTGTGAGAACATGGTGGTCGACAGCTGGAGGAAATAAAGAGCTGGCTGGAGGCAAAACAGCCGTCGTCCAACCGCCCTAAGCCGGCACAGCCCTTTCCTCAAGGAAATCTCTGTGGAGACAACAGATAAAGCCAGTGTTGTATTAGTGTAAGTCTATTTTACAAGTCCAAAGTGATTCTACTTCATCATCTTAAAGCAAAATCAATAAGAAACAAGAATGAAAAACACCAAAAGCAAAAGGCAGAGACTTGTAGATGAGAAAAAAAGAAAACCACTCTGATAGGAATCTTGATTTCCCATATTGTGGGGGAAACATGGGAACTTTGGTGCAAATGGTAGCACTCTCCAGCATCCTGTCCTCGAGATGCCCTTCATTCAGGCTGATCCAGAAGCTTCAAAGAGGAGGGACAGGGAACATGTGTTTACAGTAGAAACACTAAAAAGGACAGACACAGGCCTCATCATACATCCCCCAAAAATTGGATGAGAGGCACCGAAATTCACAACAGCTCTGAGACAATACAGTGGTCACCGTCATCACCCCGGGAGTCACACGCCCTGTGCCTCACACCCTCGGTGCCCCAGCAGGCTGCGGGCAGCATGTCCGGTGGAGGAGAACTGTTCTTTGCTGGTACCAAGTGTGCACCATCTTGAGAGCTGCAACTTTCCTGATCAGTGACACTGGATAGACCATTGAAACACAGGCACCAAGAGAAGGAAGTTCATCCCACATTCTGCAGACATCTTTATTCATCCAAAATCAGTGGTTTCCAGGGTGTCAAAGATATAACATGTAGGAAAAGGTGCCCATGGTCTGAAGTTCTACCACTGGGGACTAAGAAGCCAGGGGCTCTTCAGTCAACCCTGATGGCTTCTCCACCTCCAGTCTCACCTGTGGCCCCTCACTCCTCTGCTTGGAACTCAGGGCCCACCTGCTGCTCCTCTGGGCACTCTTGTGGCCTCCCTTTGCCCAAAATTCCTTTCTGCCAAGTGTTCACACAGTTGGCCTCTCCAGTCTGGGCTCATGTGCCCTTTAAAGGAGGCTGATCTGAAAATTACTCCTTCCCACTCACCCACTACTGCCCCCCAACCTCGCCAGTTCTGTCCTGTTCAGCCTCTCTCCCTGCCTGGTGCATTGCATTCTATGTACTTCTTTATTCTATTTACTGTTAATCATCTGTTGCTGTCACAGTGGAATACGTTGTTTGTGACCTAGAATAGGAACCTGTGATGGATCATTTAGTAGGTCAGCGTGGCTGGGACATGGGGCTTAGGGATGTGGTCATACATTATTCTGGGTGGTTTTGTGAGGGTGTGTTTGAACGAGATTGATATTTTATTTTATTTTTAAAAAAATTTTTTTAACATTTATTTGTTTTTGAGACAGAGAGAGAGAGAGAGCATGAACAGGGGAGGGTCAGAGAAGGAGGGAGACACAGAATCGGAAACAGGCTCCAGGCTCTGAGCCATCAGCCCAGAGCCTGACGCAGGGCTCGAACTCATGGACCGCGAGATCGTGACCTGAGCTGAAGTCGGACGCTTAACCGACTGCGCCACCCAGGCGCCCCGAGATTGATATTTTAGTTAGTGGACTCTGAGTAAAGACTGCTCTCCCTGACATGGGTGGGCTTCATCCAATCAGTTGAAGATCTTCATAGGAAAAAAGACTGGCCTGTCCTGAGCAAGAGTGAATTCTATGGCAGACAACCTTCAGGTTTTCTCTGGGTCTGCAGCCTGAAGATTTTGGACCTGCCAGTATCCATAATCACGTGAGCCAATTTCTTACAATAGATCTCTCTATATGTATAAATTTTCTGTTGGTTCTTTTCTCTCTGGAGAATCCTGACTAACACAGAGAGCTCATAACTGTTGAGTGAAGGAATGAATGAGTGAAGGAAGGAATAAATGGCTTTGAGAAGGAAACAGGGATTCATGGGAAGCCATTCTGGGGCTGGGAGAGAGCCAGCATCCTCGTGGGCTTCTTGGTGCTCTCCCTTTACCATGTGAGGTCTTGTTCAACCACTGAGCCCCCACCTGGAGGCTCACCACCTGGAGAAGCCATGCTGCCTCTTTGTTGTGGGAAGCATTTAAGCCTCAGGATGTCAGGTGTGGTGTGAGCAGATTCTCCTCCTTCGATGGTGAGGAAAGGATCATCCAGTGCTCAGAATCAGAGGACCCAATTACCATCTGTGGCCAGAGACGCAGCCTCCAGAGCCTTTGTTGTCTCGAGTCCACAGTGGGGAGAAGAGTAACTCCTACCTGCGGGTTGTCATGAGTAATGAACACAGGTGATGCGGGCAAAGGCTTTCCAGAGTACCTGTTACAACAGGCTCGGTGGTGCTGGATGCGTGCCTTCATCTACTCAGGTTGTTACAACAAAATTACCAGAGACCAGGTGACTTACAGACAACAGACATTTATTTCCCACAGTTCTGGGGGAACAGATTCAGTATCTGCTGAGGACATGTTTCCTGGTTCATCAATAGCCAGGCTGTCTTCTGGCTCCCCTGGGGGGAGGGGAGTTCCTCCCCTGGGGGGATGGGGGAGGGAGCTCTCTGGGGCTTCATGTAAGGGCACTCATCCCTAATGACCTCCCAAACACCCCTCCTCCCAATACTACCACCTTTGGGGTTAAGATTTCAACATGTAAAATTGAGGGGGGGGGGGACACAAATGTTCAGTCTATAGCAATGTTGTTACCAAAATGGAATATGTCGAATGTGCAAGTGACCTCTCTAGTCCTTGTGCACCAGCCCTTCACAGAGCCTTCCATTTAAGGCGCCATGTTTGATCACTCATTGATTCATTGAACCAAGTGCCTACTGTGGCATCAGCCTGGCTCAGGGCTGTGGAGAAATCTGCCCTGGGTATGAACCACCGTACCTCACATTTTTGGGGAGGTGGCAAGGGGCAGAACAACAAAGGAGCAAGATGGTACCAGTGTTCTGGAAGAGTCTGGGAGCAAGAGGAGGGACCTGGTTCAGAACCGCTCTTCCCAGCAGACCAGCCAGCATAAGCCCAGAGTTCACCATCATCACATCACACCAGTTGTCACCCACTGACTCATTTCCTGGTGCTGAATTATGAGGCTCAGAAGATTTTCCAATACCCTCACTCAATTCTGTAGATGAGAAAGCCACAATATCCAGACTCCAATTCAGAAAGTTGGTGCCACGCTTACCCTTTAGCTATCTGCTTGCCCTCTCAAGTTTCTGGTCAGATTTGTGGTTGGGGCCGGGGTACCTCAACATTCCCATCTTATGTGCCCACTGGAATGGTGTCTAGGTGAGAGAGTACCAGGGCTCTCCTTCCCTGGAGGGCTGAATATTCAGTTCCAATGGCCTGGGCTACACACACCCATCCTTCTTAATTCAAACACCCTGCATGGTGAAGTGTGTCAAACACTCAGAATCAACACAAAATGAAATGTTTGACAATGTGGCCTTGCCACAGATGACATCACAGAAACTTCCATGAGTAGCCTTCATTTCCTCTGGGTAGCAAGAACACGCTCAAAGCTTCATTCTGCATCACAAGCAAGGTGGTCATCCAGGCCCCTATGGGCACCACCTCCTGGAACTATAATCATAAAACCCAGTAAAACCCGGGGTTCTGATTGGGGGCCTGATCCCCTGAAGTCCGCCTCTTGATGTGGTTGACATTGACCAAGAGTGGCTGAGCTTTGTTATTCTCTATCTGATTGCTTCTATGGGTGTGGATGCCTTTAAACTATCCTCTTTCCTATTTGGGGGTCTCTGTTTATCCTTCGAAATGGCCTGGCTAACGACTCCTATTTAACCTCCTGCTTTCCTTTCAGAAAAATGACTCCCATAAAAATCACTAGACTGGTGTCTGAGCAAACTCTTTGGTGTCATAAAATTTTGATGTAGAGGTTTAGCAAACGTGACAGGACGTTTTTGCGTGCCCTTCCAAAGTGTGCAAACTATTTTTGGTGTGTGGGCATTTACAGAATATTGCCAGAAACGAGCTCTCCCCCCACACTCCTTTGAAAGGGGAAGAAGTGATGAGTCAGGCCACGATGAAACAGGTTCTGAGTCAGAAGTCATGGGTTTACCAAGTGAAGTACTTCAAGATAATGTTCAGGCACAAAGTATTGGAACAGAGACAAAAAGGGCCAGGGGGGATATGGACATCCAGAAAAGGAATGTGGGTTGTCAGTCACATGGTAGTTGCTTCTACTCTGAGGAGGTGAAAGGGGGGACAGGAACCCTGCCTGGAGTATACTTTGCTCATCATTTCAGTAGAGGAAACACCTGAGGTCAAGTACCATGTTCCCAGGGGAGTCATGTGGCCATACACGGGCGCTGGGTGGGGCTATGGGAATGGGGTTCTTTTTATTCCCCACATCACCTGCAGGATTTTGTGCCCTGCATGATGCATTCGGGGAACAGCTACCGAGAAATTTCTTCCCGAATGGTGTCACATACGCACAGACATGGTGGTTCAAACAGTTGGCGTAAAACAAGCCCCAGAGTATCCAAAAGGAGGAATGAGAATTGTCTCAAGAAAGTGTAGCTGACCCTCCCCCACCCAGAGATGAGAGCCAGGATTTGGGGGAAAGAAGAAAATGACATTTATTGTGGGTTCCGTGGGGAACAAGCCCGGAACAGGGCCAGACATGTGCAGGGTCACGTCGGTGAGGAAATACGAACACTAGTCTATGGTGGGCTTGCTCTGCACCAGGCTTAGCCATTGACTGGCGTTTAATCCTGCATCAACCCATTTTGCAGATGGGGCGAAGCCAAGTCTTGGTGCTTGCCTAGGGAGGTAGGACCAGCATTCAGACCCAGAGCCTCCGCTTCCCACACTGGGCTGGATGCTTCTAATTTACAAACAACTGCTCTCCTTGGGAGGTACTGTCTCCATTCTCCAGGAATGTAAACCGAGAAGGGTCCGGGAGTTTGTCCGAGGTCCCACAAGGACAGCGAGGGGGCTCAGATTCACATGCTGACTGGCTGACTCTGTTGTTCATGCTCTTTCTGGGACACCTGTGCCTCCTTGGGGCAGCTGGCATGCCCTGCCTGCTGTTCTCCGGTGAGGGACGGCTGGGTCTCCTGCTCAAAGGCAAGGCACCTATTGGAGTGGAGGCCACCTTCACCACAGCTGTCTCCCTACCATCCTCCGGAGCACAGCAGGGCTGTGAGTTTGCAGAACTGGGTTGTCCTTACGCGCATGCAGCGTGTGGGTTTCCTGTTACTACCTCCATTTTCTCCATTATGCTTCAAATTACATGATCTATGTCGTGCTGTCTCGCCATTGATTCACTGGTTAAATTAGCTGCTATTTCTCTCCCCTGCATTACAGGCTCCGAGTAATTTGTTTATGACTCAAATGTTCTGTGGGCTCTGAAGGAAAGGCTAATACGCACTCATTACAGCCTGACATGATCACTGTAAATCACGAGGACTGCAGGTCCCAGCCAGTCTCCTGGTCTCCTTGGCACAGTATTCCGTCTTCCACCTGACCAGGGCAGTGCTGCCGAGGCACGAAGTGTACCCAAAATTCATGGAAGGGGCGTGCAGAAGGTGGGCTATTGATGTGTAAAATCTGTAGAACAGTCTCAAACCGGAGCCAAGATTGTACGTCTTGTCCTCTGCATGACCTTCGAAGAGCACCCAACCCAGGCCTCCTCCCTCACTCCCAGGCTCCCTGGGGATCACCATCAGTCTGACGTCACAGAGAACGTGTACAAGTAAAGGTGAGTGAGGATGACTTCATGGTCTTGCTGCTCAGGGTCTCATCCCCACCCAGGGCCTCAGGCCCCCAGGACAGACGTGGCCCAGGTTCTCAGACGTGATGCCCAGGGCATCATCCCTGCCCTCCCCACCGCGACACGCATGACCCAGACTCTCTCTCATGCTTTGTTGCTGTTCCCATTTTGACTTCTCTAGAAGATTCTTGTCCTCTGACCTGTCCATGGGGTCCCCACTGTCGGTACAGCCACGTCCACCCCAGAGCTCTGTTCCCCACTGGATGGTGTGGTGCTCAAAAGAGTTTCCAGACCCGTGGTCCCTCTCTCATCACACCTCGCCCTGGTGAAGCGTGGGGTCTTGTTCCCCACCCAGCGCCTTCACAGACAGAAATG